CGTTGCTGTCCGTATCGCTCGCCGTCGCCGCCTTCTCCGCCTCCTCAATCGCCGTCTGTCTCCTCCGCCCGCGTCGCCTTCTCCGCCCCCCTCCGTCGCCGTCCGCCTCCCCCGCCCTCGCCGCCGTCTTCGCTCCATCCGTCACCTTCGTCTTCGCTTCCTCTGTTGCCGCCGTCTTCGCCCCCTCCGTCGCCGTACATCTCCCCGCCCTCTTCACCCTCCCCCTTCGGTTCGCATTTGGTCGGAGGCAGGCACCGGCAGGCGGCTACGCGCCCGGTGGCTATTCCTCCAGGCAGGCGGCGTCGCGGCCGGTGGCGCCACGCGTCGCATCTGTCCGACGCAGGCGGCGGCGCGGCCAGCGGCTGGGCACGGCGAAATCATCAGGTATCCACTCCTCCCATCCCCACCCCCCCCCCCCCAACCTGGCTTTCTGTTCCCCTTCATATCCTCAGTGGTGAACTTGTCTGAATTGCTCCTCTATTAATGCATATACTTGCTTGTTAATGTCTGTGTAAACTAGCTTGTAAATCGAATAGGAGATTTATTAAATTGATTTTGTATGTTGAGTTGTAAGTATGAACGATGAAACTGACGAACAATATTTTTTTGAAAGAAATATGAACAATAACTTTTGAAAGAAATATTTTTTTGAAGGAAATATGAACAATATTAAATTGATTTTGCTGTGCATGTATGGCTTGCTGCCCTGGCGAACTGACCATTGATATTTAGATATGATTTAGCATGACATCTTCTGGTAGGATAAGACAAATGCGATATATTTTGACAAAAATAGACAGGGGCTGCATTAACATTGGACTTGGCTTCTTTTGCTAGTTTGTCAGCTAACTTGATTATGTCCATAGGAATCCACATGACCTGCAAAACAGATTCAGGAATTGTGGCAACGATCTGACTACAAATAGGTCTTAATAAGCTGCAATGACCTGGCTCCGTTTCGAATCTTCCTTTTATAAGGGTTTCAACAATGGTAGAATTATCAGAGAGGAGCATGTAACCGAAGTCATTGTGAAATACACAAATGCATACATTCTCCAGAGGTGCTGAAAAAAGAAACAGATTACTGAAACTACTGGATGATGTGCAACACAAAATTTGACTGTACAGCTGAAATGAAAACAGAAAAATTATCTCTGAACAACCATTTTCAGAAAATGTATTTTAGTATAACAATTTATAGTACGTACAAAATTTGCAGCCATTGTGGGGGAACTGTAGTAATTGCTCAATAGTTTAGAATGGCATGTATTTATGCAGTTGATGGTTGTTCTTTTTTTTATATACTTATGAGGTATAAAGGACGTAAGCTTATATATTTGGGTGCTTGATCTGTTTGTTTTTTTTACTTTTCCGTAGGTGAGGTCTGAGACTTCGAGCTATGTGATTCTAGAGGATCAGGAAGAGTATAAAATGATGGGTACTGTGGTTTTTTCAAGCAAGGAGGAATGTTACAAATTCTATTTAGACTATGCAAAGGGGAAGGGTTTCAGTGTGAGGAAAAACAACTTGAAACGGAAGGACGGTGAGATTATATGGAGGCAATTCGTATGCTCATGTGAAGGGTACAGGGAGTTAAAGCACTTTGAGAGGACAGAGCGGAAAAGGGAGCCACGGGCACTGACCCGCTGCGGTTGCTTAGCTAAGCTTGAGATTGAGCGGAACGAGGAGAAGGGGGTGTGGTTTGTTAAGGAGTTTGATAACCAACATACGCACGAACTTGCAAATCCTGACCATGTTGCTTTTTTAGGAGTTCATCATGTGATGAGTGATTTTAAGAAAGCCCAAGCGGTCGAGCTTCGCATGAGTGGCCTTAGGCCCTTTCAAATCATGGAGGTTATGGAGAATAACCATGATGAGTTAGATGAGGTTGGTTTTGTGATGAAGGACCTTTATAATTTCTTTACACGGTACGAGATGAAGAATATCAAGGGTCATGATGCTGAAGATGTGTTGAAATATCGGGCGTCTTAGGAATGTGTTTTGGGCAGATTCTGAATCACGTTTAGACTATGCTGCTTTTGGTGGTGTTGTTATTTTCGATAGCACTTACCATGTGAACAAGTACAATCTTCCTTTCATTCCTTTCATAGGAGTTAACTACCACATAAGTACAACAATTTTTGGGTGCGGAATTCTATCAAATGAGTATGTCAACTCTTACTGTTGGCTCCTTGAGACTTTTTTGGAGGCAATGCGTCAAGTGCATCCAAAATCATTGATTACCGATGGCGACCTAGCAATGGCGAAGGCTATCAGTAAGGTAATGCCGGGTGCTTACCATAGATTGTGTACTTGGCATATAGAGGAGAATATGAGTCGTCACCTTCGTAAGCCAAAACTCGACGAGCTAAGAAAATTAATTTATGAGAATATGGATGAGGACAAGTTCGAGAGACGTTGGGCTGATTTTAAGGAGAATGGAGGCACGGGAAATGGACAATGGATCGCTCTGATGTACCGACTAAGGGAGAAGTGGGCAGCTGCCTATACATATTGGAAATACTTGTTGGGTATGCACAGCAACCAATGTAGTGAGTCACTGAACTCAAAGCTTCACACCCTTCTAAAGAGAAACATGTCACTAATGTGCTTAGTCAAACATGTTAAGTTGTGCATACAACGCCTGCATAAGAAGGAGGCTCAGTTGGACGCTAAGTCTACCAATTCGGTCCCTTTTTGTAGAATAGACGCCGACCCATTGGAGAAAGACGTTGCCCGTATATACACTGCAGTCGTGTTCAAGACAATCCGTGCACAGATACGGCTAATTGCAGGACTTGAAGTCATCAGTGGGACTAATCAAGATGGTTCGTCATTGTATGCTGTTGGTTTGAAGGACGATAATGAGGTGTGGGATGAAGTGAGGGTTACTTTTAAAGGCCAGGCTTTGGAAGGTGTGGAATGTCATTGTCGGAAGATGGAGTGCGAAGACATCCCTTGCTCACATATTTTTGTTGTACTCAAGTTCCTTGGTTTTGACACCATCTCTCGTTGTTGTGTCGTGGATAGGTGGACAATGGGAGCAAAGGCGACATTTAGGTCAGACAGGAATGCCGATCCTAATGTGTGGTCTGAACACATGGTTCGTTACCGTAGCCTCCGAAATCTGGGTAGTGATGCTTTCTTCGAGGCCGCTAGGAACTCTAGCAGACAGAAAAGGCGATGGATTTCTTAAAGGGGATTTTGGATAAAGGATCGTCATCCGATGAGAACATCGTGGCTGGAGATTTTGGTCCTATGCCAACTCACTTTTCATCTAGTAACCAGCCATTAGAGAAGAGAGTACTTGATCCTGAAGAGATTAGGGCAAAATGAGCTCCATCTAAGAGACGAAGGCCATTCCGTGAGACATTGCACACAAATAACCAATTAGGTAATTGTGGCTCACAAACTTTGTATCTTTTGTATTATTGGCATTGTTTTTGTTTTGGATTAGTTTAATCTTTTCTCAAGATGTGCATATTAAGTGTTTCCCCTGTGCATGCTTTTGGATTAGTTTAATCCTTTCTAATATTCTGAACTTCTGATGACAACAAGTTAAGTTACTAGGTTACAGGCTAGTCCAATGGATGGTAGATCTTTTAGAAAACAATTATTTTCGGTTGGGCGTGCGATAGAATACAGCGGAACGGATTATTTCGAACAAAATAATTATTACGTCCGGGACGGTCGATTTTTTATAAAACAATTATTCCGGTCGATTTTTTAGAAAACAAATAAATATGAATTCCTACAACAACGGGATTACAATCTTGTCGGAAATTATCGAACTTCGTGCGTTATATTAACGCTCTCCTATTATTCCGTTTTTAACACACGAGGTTTTTAAAACTAACAGTACCGATATCCGAAAACATGGTTTTCACGTACGTACTCGAGTTGGTCCGGGCCGAGTCGATTTGTAAGAAAACAATTTCCGGTCGATCATGTTGCCCACCGGGCCGGTTTTTGAAAATCATAAATTTCCAGTCGATCGCTCGTATATTACAGGGGAACGGATTATTTTGGACAAATACAAAATTAAGTTGCCGACCAGGTCATTTTTTAAAAATCATAAATTTCCGGCCGATCGCTCGTATATTATAGCGGAACAGATTATTTTGGACAAATAAAAAATTAAGTCGCCGACCAGGTCGGTTTTTTAAAAAGAATGGATTTCTGGCCGATCGCTCTTATATTACAGCGGAACGGATTATTTTGGACGAATAAGAAATCATGTCACCGACCGTCCGGATCGGGCCTGTTTTTGAAAATCATAAATTTTCAGTTGATCGCTTGTATATTACAGCGTAACGGATTATGGATTATTTTGGACGAATAAAAAATCATGTCGCCGACCGTCCGGACCGGGCCTGTTTTTGAAAATCATAAATTTCTGGTCGATCGCTCATATATTACAGCGGAACGGATTATTTTGGACGAATAAAAAATCATGTTGCCGACCGTCTGGACCGGGCCTGTTTTTGAAATTCATAAATTTTCGGTCGATCGCTCGTATATTATAGCGAAACGGATTATTTTGGACGAATAAAAAATCATATCGCCGACCATCCAGATCGCATGGAATATATCGGATCCGATTGTTTTGGACAAATAAAATCTTGTCGGAACTTATCGAACTTCCTGCGTTTTAAATACACGAGGTTTTTTAAACAAATACTAGCGATGTAGGTAGCAGAAGTCTAACATAATTTCCGTTCTCTAACCGAATTGATTTGTTTCGAATTATCTGTTATTTATTCCTGCCGAATTATATGTTATTTTTTAGACCTAATTGATCTCCTATTATTACATACCGAGCTTAATCCACATGTAACATATACATACATACATATATACATACATACATATATATATATATATATATATAGGAGACAGTTCTCGGTTTGTTCACATGTTCTGGACAAAAATTACGAAATAAATAACAAGATGAGGCCAAATTACGAGCCGCCGACGGGGAGCAAACGAAAACAATTTCATGCAGCGACGACGGGCACAAGCCAACATAAGAAAAAACGGGTACGTCTTTTTACATACAACATTCACTTTCAGCTCTTGTATACATCAGTTGTCGAAATCTTAGACTCCTCAAGCCAAAGTTGCAATAGGTCTAAGGCGCAACGATAATTACAGCACATATGATTAGATTATTAACGAATATAGTCTCTCCCCTGATTTTACTGTGTGCCTCTTTTAAGCTCTGGCTAGTCTCTGGAGCAATTGTATAGAGGATGTAGCAGCCACACAGAGTACACAGCACGGCAAGATATCCCAAAAAATATACTTGTACAACTCCATAAAAAAAAAGAGAATGGCACCTAATTTATATACCTGTCCTACTCCATACAACTATTTTATATACTTGTCATACTCCATACAAAAAACGAACAGAATGGCACCTAATTTTTGAGAAGACAGTGATATTAATCCAAAGCAACATATCCATGTTATATATTCAGCATGCTAAAAATTTAGTAATTACATGACATCCACATGCCATTAGGGCATATAACTTTTTGTCTCGACTTTTTGCCAAAAAAAAAAAAAACTAAAAGCCTATGGGAGCAATGGGATGAAGCAATGTACCTGCGGGGAGTGTTAGGCGCAGCCGTAGATGGTCTGCCGGCCTGACCAACCCCTGCTTCGACGTGGTGGATTTGAGATCCAGAGGCGTTTGTGGCGGGAAGCTGACAATGGCACTGGCGACGCCCTGCAGTAGCAAAGATTCATGTGTGCTGATGTATTGGGATATATATTATTGATTAGTGAGAATTAGTTAGGATTTCTGAGAATCATAACGAAGCAATTATCATACAAGTAATTATCATAGCCATATTATGATGAGAATTTATATAGATTGCATAACAAAAACAAAGTGTAAGATTCGTGTCGAAGATCTGGCATTAACAAATAGGGGTCATCGCTGACTTAAGTATAAAATAATTTATCTACAACCAATTAAGGAAATCAGGATTTCTTATATTTTTATCCAAACTCATGGTGTTCTCCACAAATCTAAAGAGGTAAAACTTAGATGTAGCATATTCAGAGAGGCTCAATGTTTTCATATGTGTTTCCGTTGGTGACCTAGTTTAGTTTTAGACTGTCTAAAAATGAAGATCTAATCCTGGTCACTGTCAGGGTATACACAGATGTCTGAAAGCACAGGTTCCATGATATGTAATCTCCTACAACAAAGAAAATGATTTACTCTGTAATATAAGAAACCAACTTTCAGATACTGGTTATAATGGGTTGCATGCCTGTTCTTCCAAGATTACAAGTTTAAATTTCAGCCAACAATGTGCGGAGATGATGTAAACTCAATGGCACTACAGCACTTCATTAGCACCTACTGTTTGTTAATTTTGTTAATACTACAACAATTCAAACTCTTAGAAACGGTTATACTGCTTTCTGAGCCTATCTTTTTTACTGTCTGAAATATGGTGCTGGCCTCATGAGCAATGAAATAGGAAACATGCAGTGCATATTTATGTTGAATCCGGAAATGTTGGCCTCATGATTAAAGAAGTAAAATAGCAGGGCTACGCCACACACAGACACACTGTGACCATCTACCTTAGAAACACAATCATGCATGATATTCCATCCAGACAATCTTAATTATATTTGTTGAATCTTCAACCCAATTGAGATCTTATGAATTATACTGAATATATGTTAGAATTGATTGGAAATTTCAATATAATTACCACGCCTCGACGACCGATCTATATTAGCCACTATATGTTCAGAATTTCACACTTTCAAACTTTCAAACCAAAGTGAGGGATGTGGTCATGGGTGAAGGTGGCACAAACCTGACAGTACTATGTTGCCCTCGAAGACCTCACTCATGTTGCTCCCCTCAAACTCCTCAACCTCACTGAATCCTGCACATAAGAATGAACATTGAACAAATTATAGAGAGGGCCATATAGACTGCCAGAACAGTGATGGAGGACATCACTTCAACATGTCAGACGAGTAACATGCCAGAGCAGGATTAATTATTTCCTTTGATTTCTAATTGATTTCTAGCAGGATTAATTGATCTCTAGGTTTGGTAATGTGCAATCATATATATGAGCACTTGCATAAATTTTCACATGGACTAAACTCTTATTATCTTTTCTGTTAATTAGGGAACTCTAGTTTGCTCTCCACATGCCATGTACGAGGTAATACTCCATCTAAGTCTACGTCAAAAGGAAGCTATCGAGGGTTCAGGTCTTGGCAACTTGCTAAAGATTGACAACATACATATTGACCGAAACTTGTGCAATGAGATTGCAAGAAGCTATGACAAGGAGAAGAAAGCATTCAATATTAATGGTACTTTCGTAACGATGACACTCGATGATGTTGATTGTTTGCTTGGACTGCCATCAAAAAGAGATGACATATTTGAGGCACCAAAAATCAATAAACCAGAATTGTTCAACCTGTAAAAAAGGAAGGCCAAACAACAATTACTTTACAAGCATTACGGGAAGCAATAATCAACTCCTTGAGCTACGATGACCACTTCATTCAAAGATTTATTCTTTTCTCAATTGGATCCTTCATATGTCCTACAACTCAAAGATATGTGCGCTCAGAATATCTCAATCTCGTCGACGACGTTGACAACATGAGGGAACTAAACTGGTCTAGTCTAACACTAAATCAGTTACTGAAAGGCATATTAAAATTTAGAGAGAAGACAACAAACATTGAGGGGAACGTATGCCTCTTACAGGTTCGTTTCAAAATTGAGTTTCTTTACAAAATTGTCATGAACATATTTTCATAGCAATACTAATTATCTTATGTACAAATGCTTTGCAGATTTGGTATTGGGAAAAAGTGCGAATAGATAAATTGGCTGCGACAATATATCATTCTGGTCGTCAAAGGCCACTAATTCAGTACTGGGACAAAAAAAAAAAAGAATTTCTTACCTTTTTGGACAAGGGAAGGTAACTATCTCATTTTTAATACTATGTACTAACTATATCAACTGTCTGTAAAATCTCTAATACACCTTTTTCACTAAAAATAGGTTGTCGACGACATTACGGGAACTATACATTGCAATGAAATCCCCGATGAAAAAGCGCAGGACAATGACTCAGAAACACGTAGCAATGAAGATTTTCAAGGCACTTCTGAAGAGGTATATATTATGGGGTTTTAATACGAACTCTATTTAACAAAATATGTTTGACATCCTTTTCTCACTTGTGCTATTCAGGTACACTCTATAACATCCACTGAACAATCAGCCGACATCACTTTACAAGAAAGGTTACAAGAAAGCATCCAAACTTTACAAGATAATTTCAACGATTTCACAAAGGATTTTTGGCCACGTATGCGATCATTGATACTAGATTGCATGGAAAATGATTCAAAATGCCCAGAGCGAAAAGATAGTACGCATGTGTTTGAGGTAAAGATCATATGCTAGACTGTTAATCATTATTACTTACGTAACACCGCTAAAAAAAAGGTTGACGCTATTGCAGGATGTTGAACAAGAACAAATTGATCCCAGGGAGCATGTATCAAATCATAACGAAGAGTCCTATATAAATCAAAATGTAAACATGACTTGTGAAACGAAGGTAAACTGAATTTTATTTCTCTCACTAACGTTACTACAACTTATCATAATACTAACGTGCACTTTATTACCTAACAGGACAATAGTAACTAGAGCAATCAAAGCAGGAAGATGCTTACAGGTCCTACAGGAAGAACATACAAACCAACTAATCGGACTGACTTCATCTACGAAACAAGAGGTAAAAAGAAGGACATAATCAAAACCCAAGCACAGACAAAGAAAACAATAGGTACTATGCTATTTCATAGTTGCATATGCTCATGTCAATGGTACTAACTTTACTCCTTTTCAAGCGCAAACGAATAAAGAAGCTTACATGCCAGACACAGGCGAATTACGGGGTGAAAAGAAGAGGAAACAAGACAACCAAACACTGAATGAAATATCCGAATGTATGAACTCTCTACATCATCCATAATTTTTTACTTATATTCTATGTTTGTGTGTTACTGATTTGACTTACCCTTTTCTAGTGTACATAGAGAAGGAATATCTTACGCAAAAAAACATAGACAACGGACCACCAAAGAACGCCTTACGAGGTCAAAAGAAGAAAAAAAAACGAATGGCCAAACAATGTTAAAAAATTCAGAAGGTAATGACTAACCATTTAACATTTCTATAGATCTATTACTAATTTGTCCAACCTTCGTAGAGTTGACTAAAAAAGAAGACCCGTTCATTACCTACATTAATAACACGGAGGATAACAAAGTGATGGTGCATATTGAAGAAGTGGAGGTTAAACGGATAAGAATGAAAGTACTAACACAACCAGAATTCTTGAATGATGATGTAAGTTCGCCTATTTAACAAGCCTACTATTCTTTTATAACTATATTTGTTATATAACTGAACTAACCTCAAATTCAGGTCATGGATGCATACATCCTATGCCTCCGCTATAAAGAGAAAGGAATCAGGGGAGATGGCAAGGCCTTCCTAGAGATGGCCATGAAAACAGGTCTACTAAATGTAGAGGGAGCGCATGTCGAAGCAAGCAAACCTCGAGATAAACGATGGATTAGAGATATGGCACGCGACTATCTAGCATTTGACATGGTAATACTTATTCAAGCTATCTATGTAATGGCTAATTCAATTTATGACTCTATCTATGTAATGGCTAATTCAATTTATGACTCTATCTTAGTGTTGAACAATGAACATATGCAGATTTTCCTCCCAATTAATATTAAAGATACACACTGGTACCTAGCCGTTCTTAACGCCAAGCGATGTGAGGTGCAAATACTAGATTCGCTCGCAAAGCCAATCAGTAAAGATCGACCTGATCTAAGGCGTGTGGTAAGCAATACACTTCCACTTGTATAATTCAAATTGGTTTTGCTATGTTTTAACCGTACCAACGTTGCACAAAACTTTCCAGCTGCTAGCTATTGAGAGGGGATTACACGGGACAGAGAATCAGCACCCACAGTTAAAACACGATTGGCCTGATTTCAATATTACCGAATGGGAGTACAACAAAGTCCAAAACTTGCCAAAGCAAGGAGACGGGTGGGTGACTCAAACTCTTCCACATGATATTCACATTATTCAATTACGCAAACATGTTAGCCTAACGACTAAATTCTTGTAGCTTCTCGTGTGGCCTGTACACCCTTAAGTTCATGGAGCATTGGAGCGGATCTTATCTCCCAGAAATTCAACTACAGGCAACTACAACAACCTCTATTCATATTTTGCACCAGTGCTTCCCAATACAAAAAACCATTTAAAATGCACTCCCTTTGCATTATGCAGAAGGAAGTGAAAACATTTCGACAGGACTTAGCCGGAATTTTGATCAACTCCGAACTGAACAACATTAAAGATCGTCCACTGCTACCAACCACGACATAAATGGATTATCTGTCAAACATTTACCACAATTACCTTACTATGCTCTCTTACCCTTATTAAATAATTTAGATACTACTTGGGTATTTGATGGATCCCAAACATTGATGCCTTTTTGAGATAATATTCATAATTCATATTTCAATCCATTTGAGAAGGAGCGGTATATGAAACCTTACGCTTCGGGATGACTCAGCGCAGTCAGCTATCGACGTCACCGACGTGCGTATGCTACAATGTCGCACCTGAACACCGATAACCCCTTCGCCGGCATACGGATCCCCTTCGCGCATGCCACCGTCTTGCAAACTGACCCTGCTCCCAACCATTCAATCAAATAATCAATATACAATACAATGGATTCAAGAACAAACAACCTTTATCTGCAAAATCATAACAGTAGTGGTTGGTATATTAAGATGCTGCTTAGGTGAGCACTATAATGAAGGCTGAAGCAACAGAGTAAATGAGTAATCTCGCATTAGAAGATGATACTCTTTACCAACTTCTCTTCGTTGTCTTTCTGATACCGTATAACTGAATATTGGTAAGAAAAGTATGGTAAGATTGGAGGATTCAGAATGTACCTGAAGCTCGGCTGTCTCCTCTCGATTCCTCGCATAGTATCTGAACACTAAAGATGGAAAATTGTAAATTAACCAAAAAAAACTGCAATTCAAGACAATAGAATTGGTGAATTGTGATTAATATGACACAGTTAGTAGTACTCCTATTAACTAATAGAGTATCGCTTACACTGGGTTAAATCGGTTGCCAAGGGCATGTTCACACTTCAGAGAAGGGGGCGGCTAGGTCGATGGCGACAGAGGTGGAGTGGAGAAGGGTGCGTCGGTCCATGGGGAGGAGAACGTGGCGGTGGTGGCGCGGGGAGGCGACGCGGCGAAGAGGACTCATCGCGCGCCGGCGGAGGCGGGTGGAGGGGCGGCTACGTCACGCGACTCGCTAGACAAGAGGGCGGGGGAGGAGGACAGCGACGGTGGGGGCTCACAAGCCGGCGCGGAGACGCGGGCGGAGGCGAAGGCGGCGAGGGCGACAAGGAAGGGCTTCGACGGAGGGAAGCCGCCAATATCGGGGGAGGCGGACGTCGACAGAGGGGCGCTGGCGGTGGAGAAGGCGGCGAGGAAGGGCGAGTGCGGCGAGGGAGCAGAGAAGGCGACGGCGCTGGAGGGGGAGGAGACGCCAGGACAGGCGACGGAGGCGGCGAGGGAGATGGACGGCGGCGGAAGCGGGGATGGGGGGGAATGGCGACGGGAAGTGGTGAAATGGCGACGATGCGAGAGGAATCGGATAGGGATAGGGTGGGTAAGAGACTGAAAAATACGATAATACCCCTACGCGATTTTTTTCCCTTGACGAAAACACCCTTCCATATTTCTACTTCCACTAATACTAATACTGGTGGGAGTAGAACTAGATCTCAGCCCTACAATTAAATACGACCAATGGCCCAAATTACTTTCTACTCCGAGTAGAAAGCACCGGAGTGGGACTCAATCATCTAATATTTTTATATTTGGTATAATTTTAGTTTACCCGTTGTAACGCACGGGTATTTTAGTTTACCCGTTGCAACGTACGGGTATAATTTGGAGTAGTAATGAAAAAAAATACAGTGATATTATGTTTCCTGATATAATCTTGGAGTATATCTAGAGGACACTGTAATAATTCGCCATGATCAAAAAGATCAATGAAGCACGGCTTCCTCTTCAAAAAATTTTCCTACTAATTATTACGACAAACCTAAGCAAAATCGAATTCCAATCTAACTCGACATGGCCGCACCTTCGCCGTCGTCCGGCGATCGGGCGCCCACCCGGGAGACGGCGTCGACGCAGCGCCTCACCATCACGCCGTACTCCTCCTTCTCCGGCCTCAGCTCCGGCAAGCCCGTCATCTCCGGTCTCTTCAGCCTCGGCGGCCACCTCTGGGACATCCTCTTCTTCCCCGGCGGCTACTACAGTGGCAGCCCCTACGCCGCCGTCTTCCTCCGCCTCGTCTCCAGCGACCACAGGGAGCAGGTCCGCGTGCTCGTCGACTTCACCCTCGTCTACCGCCGCGGCGGGATGACCGGCGGCGGCGAGGACGACGGCTCGTACACGCGCTGCGGGTACCATGTGTTCGGCCCGGGTCCAGCCACCGTAGGCCGCGGCTGCTTCGGCTTCCCGGAGTTCATCCTGCAGCACGACCTCGCCGCGTCGGGGGTGTTGCTCCGCGGCGACCGCCTCGTGGTCGAGTGCGCCGTGCTCCTCGCCGCCGACGCCGACGAGGTGCTGCGGCGGGGCCCGCGGCCGCTCGACGACGAGCTGCGGCGCGGCCTCCGCCGCATGCTGGAGGACGGCACGGGCGCCGACGTCACGTTCGTCGTCCGCGGGGAGCGGTTCCGCGCGCACCGCTGCGTGCTCGCCGCGCGTTCGCCCGTGTTGCTGGCGGAGCTCCACGGGCCGGCGGCGCGCGCCATGGGGGAGACACAGGACACCGACGATGCCACCACCACCATCACCATCGATGACATGGAGCCCGACGCGTTCGCCGCCATGCTGCGCTTCGCCTACGACGATACCCTGCCGGAGCTGCCCGGGAACAGCGAGAGGGACGCCACCGGCGTGCACATGGCGCAGCACCTGCTCGCCGCGGCGGACCTGTACAGGATGGACGCGCTGAGCCAGGCGTGCCAGGACAGGCTGGCCCGGTGCGTCACGCCGGCCACGGCGGCCGACACGTACGCGCTGGCCGACAGGCTCGGCCTCCGGCTGCTCAAGGCGGCCGTCGTCCGGGACGTCGCCGCCACCGGCGCGCGCGGCATCGAGGCCGTCAAGAACAGCGAGGGGTTCCGGCGGCTCGCGGCGGCCGACGCGGCGACCGCAGAGGAGATGGTGAGGAAGGTGATGGCCGCCGCGTCGGCGCATGTCAAGAGGGAGGAGGTGTCCACGGTGAGCTCCATGGAGATGATCTTGGGGTCCCTTGGTGTGGCCGTGTTCGCTGGGATTGCTTTGGCTGCACTTAATTTTGGGCCATTCAGACCAATAAAATGAAGGAAAGATTGTCGATTTTTCATATCCCTTCTTTTTATTAAGCTACTAATTAAGCACCTAAAACATAACATGCAAGCATTGTATTTATTCGTACTCCTAAAACCTACATGCAAGCATGCTACATTAACCCATTAAGCACACAAAACTCAATATGCAAGCATATAGTAATTATATCTACAATCTATTTTATTATAAAACTAAACATACACATGCTAATTCATTATTGACAAATCATTTTCATAATATTTCAAACTAAATCATTTCATCATTTCTCCAATATCTAACATATATCCCGCAGAAAAGCACGAGGATCATCTAGTATATATGTATGGAGTTAGGATATATGATCCGCGGGCATCATATAGTATATATGTATGGAGTTGGGATGATCCAATAAACAATTGTTTGTGTTTTCGAATGAACAGTAGAAATTTTTGTAGAGGTGGAGGGATTTGAATGGCAAATTTGGAGTGTGAATTTGGGAACACGATTTTCATTCGAGAAACGATTGATCTGACGTTGCAATTGGATTTTAAGGCCTGATTTTTTTATTGCTTATATTTGAATAGAGGACTACTCCCTCTGTTCCAAAAAAAAGGCAAACCATGGGTTTCTGTGTCCAACTTTGACTGTCCGTCTTATATGATTTTTTTTATAATTCGTATTTTCATTGCTGTTAGATGATAAAACATGATTAATATTTTATGCGTGACTTGTCTTTTTAATTTTTTTTATAATTTTTTCAAATAAGACGGACAGTCAAACGTTTGGCACGGAAACTAGGGTTTGTCTTTTTTTTGGATGGAGGGAGTAGAAGCTTAGGCTGTGTATAGATATAGGGGTGAATGAAAAGTTTTGGCGTGTCACATCGGATATACGGACACATTTGAAGTATTAAACGTAGACTAATAACAAAACAAATTATAGATTACGCCTGTAAACCGCGAGACGAATTTATTAAGCCTAATTAATCTGTCATTAGCAAATGTTTACTGTAGCACCACATTGTCAAATCATGGAGCAATTAGGCTTAAAAGATTCATCTCGCAATTTACACGCAATCTGTGTAATTAGTTATTTTTTCGTTTATATTTAATACTCCATGCATGTGTCCAAACATTCGATGTGGCAGGTTGAAAACTTTTGCTAGGGGATCTAAAGAGGCCCTTAGAATGAAGATTCAAGATTTGGTTTGAAAAGTTTAATTCCTTCTTTTTAATGATTGGTTGATACTGAACCATAAAAATTTGTGTTACATAGTCTAGTATGAATGTCTTTTCAGAATCACCAAAAATAGGTTTGCTACAATTCTGCTGAGGCGAGGGATAAATTTCTAGACATCACAAAATTTCTAATTAAGCTTCCGTGTGCGCCTTCAGTTTTTTTTTTCACCATAGGTCTTTCCTTTAGAGAAGTGCAAGGGACGTGCTCATGTTCACTAGCATTAATCCGTTCGTTTCCACTAAAAAGGTTAATAAAATTTTGGATATTTGTGGCACGCTTTTTAAATTGCTAAACGGTGCGTTTTGTACGAAAACTTTCTATATAAATGTTGCTCTGAAATATCAGATTAATCTATTTTTTAAGTTTGTAATGATTAAAACTGAATTAATCATACGTTAATACCACCTCGTTTTGCGTCAAACACTTAATCTTCATTTTTATCTTTATGTTCAGGAGAAAAAGAGCACCTCCAGATATTCTTCATCTTTGTTTTAGAACCAAAATTGTGCATAAGCACACATTTATGAATTTGTACAAATTCCTATTCCAACCGCAAACATGAAAAGCAATGTCCAAGATCAAAATGAGGGCAACAAAATCGTGACAAACCAAGCGCATTTCAGCACAAAATTGATCATTCTTGCCAGTTGCCAGTGCAACAGAAACAATAGCAGCATTATATTCGCTAGAATTGATATGGATCCAAGTTTCTTATCAAGCACATAACGACAGGAGAATAATTTAGGTCTAATCATCAATTCCATCCGTTTCAGGTTACAAGACATTTTGACTTTGGTCAAAGTTAAACTGCTTTAAGTTTGACCAAGTTTGTAAAAAAAATAGTAACTTTTTCAACCCAAAATAAATTTATTATGAAAATGTATTCAATTATTGATTTGATGAAACTAATTTAGTATTATAAATATTACTATATTTATCTATAAACTTAGTTAAACTTAAAACAGTTTAACTTTGATAAAAGTTAAAACGTCTTGTATTCTCAAACCAGAGGAGTAATAAGTATCTTTTGGAGGGGTTGGGAACGGAACCAGATCGATCTACGTCAAAGGGACGTCCAACGCGCGCGCGCCGTTCATTTTCTATCGAATGGTGCCGAGAGAGCGGAGAGAACCTAGCCTCGCTTTCGGTCCACTGTAATAGAATCGGTCCACTAACAGGTAAGCGAGAAATAGCTGAGAACGCTGCAGCAGCAGTTGGAAAAAGTACACCCAAGATCCATCAACTTGTTATCAAGTTACAAAATCGTCCCTCGACCGCAAAAACAGATATATGACATCCCTTAACTTACAAAACCATTTACTTTTAAGTCTCTCGGTGGTTTTGAATCCGGTTTTATCCACCGTGACGATTGAATCAGTGTGGGCCCCACATGTCAGATGCCACATCATCACCCCTCTCTTCCTCCTCTCTCTCACTTCTCTCCTCAGTCATGGCGGGCGGCCCGACGCTGCCGCGGCCGGGGCTAGTAGCCCAGCGGCGAGGAGGAGGAAGCGGCGACGGCGCCGCCACTGCAAGGGATCTCACCGTGAGTTCGTGTGGGAGGAGAAGGGGCGCAGCGAAGAGGCGGAGGAAGAGCTCCTTCATGGACAGCGGCAGGGAGAGCTCACCGTCGGCGAGGCACGGGAGGTCGCGGGGAAGGAAGCGGGACCTGACGGCGTCGGAGTCGGCGGCGGCGCGGAAGTCACGGCAGACCACGGCGAGGTGAGGGAGAGCACCGCCACGAGGAGCTCCTCCGGAAGGCGCGCGATCTCGCAAGCGGCCGCCTCCTCCTCCTCCATGGATCCTGCGATGGCGGCTGGGGAACTGACGTCGCGCGGGCCATCCTCTCCGCCGCGCTCCCCTCGCCGGCCGGCCGCGCGAGGATGGGGTGAGGCGGCACGACGGCGGGCCACGCGTGAGCAGATTGCGACCGTGCCAGAGTCCGTGTCCGCGTCCGCGTCCGCCGCGAGGGGAGGGGATCCCGGCAACGGCGATCTGGGGAAGTCCGCGTCCGCGTCCACCGCGAGGGGAGGGGATCCCGGCGACGGCGAGCCAGGGAAGTCCGCGTCCGCGTCAGCCGCGGGGGGAGGGGATCCAAGCGACGGCGAGCCAGGAAAGTCCACGTCCGCGTCCGCCGCGAGGGGAGGAGCTAGATCCCAGCGACGGCGAGCCGGGAAAAGTCAGAGAGAGAGAGAGGGGAGGGGAGAGAAGAGGGGGGAGAGATGACGTGGCATCCTGACATGTGGGGCCCACGTTGACTCAGCCGCCACGTCGGATAAAACCATAATCAAAACCACAAAAGGACCTATTGTGACCGATTTTAATTAGTTGAGGGATGTCGGATATCTGGTTTTACGATTTGAGGATGTTTTTTAACTCGATGACAAGTTCGGGGACCTTCGGTGTACTTTTTTCCGCAGCAGTTTCACCGGCCGGTCGAGGGCCGCAGCGGTGGCTCTCCTATATGACGCTGACGCCGAATCCCGAGCAGTTTCACAAGGTGCTCTTGATATGCCAGCATGGCCCATGGCTGCAACCTCAACCTTGTCAGTCGCCTCCGGCAAGTCGATCGGCAACCAGGTCTACAACGTCGAGTGGACCAATAGCACCTCGTACTACTTCAACTCGACCTCCTGCCCCGCCACCCATCAGCATCCTGCCACTCGAGCACATGACTGCCTGGCCGATGGTCGACTGTCACGTCTCGACTCAAATCCCACGAGTCTTGCATCATTGCATCATTATGTCAAGTCTGATATTCTTCTCAAGGGAAATTGAAGTAGTCAAGTTTCTGCAGTGATTACTATCCTGACCCAACAATGTGCTTTAATTTCCTATTGAACAAATGCAGTGATGCAGTCCAAAATTTCTTCACTGGTTCAGTAACTTAATACAGCTCTGCCATGACTTGTGTCTTTCGATCTGTTTCCCAGAGATGCATGCAGCAGCATGCATGCGACGAGCTTATTTGAGTTGGATGGTGTTCTAACTTCTAAGTGTGGCAGGCGCCGGCTCACTGCTTCACTAATGAGAATAGTAAACATAGCGTGAAACTGCTCGGGCCACGTAGTCAGCGCCGGACGTGGGTGCCGCCGCCGACGAAATTAAGCCACCGCCGCGTCCTCGGATGGCGGTGTGAGGATTTTGGCAGGAAACAATCGTACGTTTCAGTGCGTTGCTTACGCGCTAATATATGGTGAGAATAGCCCTCACTGTGGCGATTACAGAAGTCCACGAGATCGGCAACAACCGCGCCAACTCGGGAGAGAAACCAGTATGCGATAACAAATGTAAAGGAAGAGATAAAATCTAATCATATCTTATTACAACTAAACCGATCATTATCGCATGCATGGAGATAGAAATAGACTCAACTAACACCCTCTCTCAATCATAACCTTGCTAGGTTAAGATTGGCTTTAAACTTCTCGGTTAGGTTAAGATTGGCTTTAAACTTCTCCAGAAGATTAGTTGACAATGGTTTAGTAAATCCATTAGCAACTTGATCACCGGAAGAAACAAAATCAATTTCCAACAATTTCTGACTTACCCTTTCTCTGACAAAGTGATAGTCAACCTCTATGTGCTTTGTTCTTGCATGAAAC